CCTACCAGGATTCTTATTCCGGGATTCTGATCGAGGCTCTAGTCGACCCCTTGGTTCGGACTCAGCTGTCGGACATGTTTGTAGTAAAGTATTATAGTAATTAGATAAAGAAGTTTAACAATTAACATTGGACCAACATATCATTAACAAACTATTTTTACTAAAGATATCACCAAAAACAGATTGAAACAAAACCATGACAATGGTGATCAATCAATTTATAGGAAAGTATTAAACATAGATGATTAAAACAATGTTGTTTACTGTACCTTTCAATTTCAAAAGTATTCTCAGAAAAATGAACAAAATTAAATAACAGTAATTTTGACATGTTCAAGTGGCTTAGTAGTGAAGTATTCCAATTTAAAAGTCAAAAATAAAATTAAAATATAACAGCATCAATCAAGATCACAATATAAGTACAGTACTGTAATAGTATTGCTTTCATTTCATAAATTAACTTATACTGTATGAAATACTATATGATTAAAAAATAAAATAAAAAACAGCTGTATTAATGTCTTGCTAATTACAGTATTAGCAAAGGGTACGATTTTACAATTAAAATAAAATAATTTTAATAACAATAAAATAATATATTCCATTATTGTACTGTACCTAAAAGGAAAGATAGAATATAATTTAAATAAATTTATTTTGTGATATTTTCATTTTTTATATCATCCATATGACTACTCAGTATATGGGTCACCTTTTGGTGAAATACCTCAAGTATTAAAAAACTAAGGCATTTAATTAACTAAATCAAATCAATTCCCAAGAACTTCTTCACTATTAATGCTCCAAAATTGTCACATGACCTACATTAACCAGCAAAAATACTGTTAAGTTCGAGTATCAAGCTCACAATTACATAATTCTGTACGGCTACAATGTGCATGATGAGTCACGGCTCGAGCAAAATGCTGTCATTAAGTTGCTCTTCAAAGCGTAAATGGTAATTGCATTAATACCAATGCTTTACATGTGATATGAAAATACTCAGGAATCTAGAAATCAATAGTGTGGAGAAAGGACTGCTCATTACTGCACTGTACTGCATTGTACTTGGCTTAATAATTTAGTCTTCAAATTTACAGGATTATGTTAATTTTTTTTTAGACAGTCACCAAAAATTATGCTAGGAAAAATAGAGTTCCTGAATGATTTAAAGATCAGTTTACCAAGAAAGAATTTTTGCTGCCAGGCATGCACATCAAGACTAATCAGTCAGTTATTACCAAATTCATCAGAATTATAAACTATATTAAAAAACTTAATGGTTCTCAATTTATATCTTGTATCATGTTGAAATAAAAATGTGTTTGTTTTGTTTTTGGCACTAGCAAACTCAAAATATACAAAATCCAGTATTAACTGTATACTACAGTACACCCCCACAACCTTTTCAGCCCACAACAAAAATTTAATGTCAAGCACCCAGACGTGACCCATCAAACTCAAAAGCCTAATTTATCAAACAAATTTCATGGTAAAATGATTGAATTATATTTTAATTTAATATTTTTATACAGTAGTTTTAGTGTTGAGTCAATAAATCACGTCCATCGTTTTATACATGTGAGGGATAGCAGAGATCAGCAGAACAATACCAACTTGATTCTTTTGTCAACCAATTATAAAATACCACTTTATTCATAAAAGATTCTTCATATCGCCCACAAAATAAAGTTAAATACCCTAAAAATGAAATTATATAACTTAATTAATCACAACTGAACCAATTAAGATCAAACTTTCAATAAGTACTGATTAAAAAAATCAATGATTCACAGATGTTTTACTACAAAAATTCAAAAGTTTGCTGCATGAAATATATGGGTTATTAGAAGACAGAAACATTTAATTGCAGAAAAAAATATTCTTACAATTCTTATCTGAAAGCCAAGCACATTATAATAAAGAAAACTAAAACATTAAAGTTGTTATACAAATGTTTTGATAGTCTATTGTTGAATATGAAACTATTGATAACGCATGCATTACAAAAGTAAAGTTTACTGCAATTTTTATTTTGTTTGTCGTTGTTCGTGTTAAGTAAATCTGAAGAGATTATGCGACCCATCAACATTTTTCTGTGATCCAACACTGGGTCGCAAACCATAGGTTGTGGAACTGTGTACTAAACTACCTGCCAGAGCCAAGACAACTGACATCAAGCCAAGACAACTGACATCAACCCACCACCAGGCTGTGTCAACATTTAATCAACAAAGCAGCAAGTTACCAAGTGTAAAAAACTACTAGTAAATGTGTATATTACGATCGGCCAGTACCATGACAGTTCCAACCTTTCATTAAAGTAAATAAGAATCTTAAATAGCCATGTCAAAACCATCATCAGCAAAGTATATCATCACCAGGTAATTAAGTTACAGAAATCACTATCCAGTAAATCACTAACTCAGCCAGTGTCAAAACCACCACCAGCTACAGTAGAGGTGTACCACCCACCACTAACCATAAAAAAAATCACTACCTCAATCAGTCATCAGCCAATCAAAACAATCATCACTAGCCAATAATACATCACCATTTGCTGGCATCAAAACCCTCCTCACAGCCAAAATCATTATCAACCACCTACATATTTAAACTAGTACCAACAAGTGTATTAATATATACCAGCCCCATCTAGTCAGCTAGTGTCAACAATTAATCTGTAATAATTAGAGATGGGAAAAGTGCACAACTGCATAGCCGTGTAAGCACTGTGTGCATTCCCGGAGGCATTTTTAGAATTTTTAATTTTTTGCTTTCTTCAGGGGAATTTGTGCATTTCACCAAGGTACAGTATATAACATTGTATAGTAGTATGTTACTACTAGAGGCATTTCTTTAAGATGCATACAAAATTTCATTCCAACAACAGTTTTAGTTATGAAACTAATCATAAATATGGCACCTCATGAATGTAATAAAATTAACTTAAAATTTTGTGACAGCCCTTGCAATTACATTCACACTTGAAGGAATCAAATACAGTGCACACTTCATTTTGAGATCCCTGAAATTCCAGGACCCATCTAATCCGAAACAAGTAACAATTTTTAAACACAAAGCTAACACTTACGGGCTCCAAACCCAGTGACCACTCCAAATCTCAAATTGGAGGGCAAACTGTAGTATAAATTCACAAACACAAAACATTGTACAAACATCAAAATGCAGATCAGGAATTAATAAAATTAATTCCATATAAATTTAACATTGTAAAGTAAATACTGAACAAATATACTCAGTCAATTAGAGTAAATATATCATCTACTAATATCTTACTACATATTAAAACCAGCCTCTGACCATCAAAATGTCAACCATATGGTTAACACCATGAGTTGTACTGTACTTTGTTTCCAGATTCAGATTTTTGAAACAGTGTTGAGATGACAAAATAGAAAACAAATATTAAAGGTAGCTTTTGGCAGCTACACAAGCAAGAAACTTGTATTTAATAATAATTTAACAACATCCTATATCTACACTATAATGCAAGTCATCAACCTTATTTTATTATTTAAATATTCAGACATTGTAAAGTAAATAAACATTGTAAAGTGAATATTGAACAAATATACTCAGTCATTTAGAGTAAATATATCATCTACCAATATCTTACTACATATTAAAACAAGCCTCTGACCATCAAAATGTCAACCATATGGTTAACACCATGAGTTCTACAGTACTTTGTTTCCAGATTCAGATTTTTGAAACAGTGTTGAGATGACAAAATAGAAAACAAATATTAAGGTAGCTTTTGGCCGCTACACAAGCAAGAAACTTGTATTTAATAATAATTTAGCAACATCCTATATCTACACTATAATGCAAGTCATCAACCTTATTTTATTATTTAAATATTCAGACGAAATGTCATGTACAGTAATGCGTGACAAAAATTGAGGTTGAAAATTTCTGTGTAACTCTGTTATCATCCAAGAAACACATGCTCTTGATTGTTGTGGCTTGTAATTTGTTATGGTGGAATTCCCCTACTGTAAATTATTATGACAAGTGTTTAATCAAATGTGATTTTTCCTTGAAAATTAGCCCTTTAGTTCAAAAATGCATGGATGGAATTATGGGTCTAATATTTTGGTTGGGGGACATATAAAATATTACCCACACAAGCTCAAGCCCATACTGTAAAATTTTGTAATTGATGACACCTCAAAAACTAGCTCAAATTTGTGTGGAAAATCGCTAGGAAAATAAGTATACACAATCGTAATAACAGCATAATACATTGGTTATATATTAGGATTAGGTCTTTGCAAAATCTGCATGGAATTCAACCCTTATTTTCCAAAATGCGCAGGCCTAGGTCTAGGCCTATTTTTTTCGAGGAGGATATTCCCTGTGCAGGCCTTACTTTACAGTCTGAAGTGTGGACATTAAACAGGCACAGTAGAATGTTAAAATCGTTTGATGAAGCACGTGATGAATAGCTAGGGTGAACTCCAACAATAAAGGGGTAGATAGACCTATTTGAATTTATAAAGTCAGATATTATACTAGCCTAGACTTCTTTTGCATGGAAACTATTGTACAAAAATTGCCCACACATACAAAAAACCATAAAACATTCAAAAATACAATCTTAATTACGACAATACCACATCAATGAAGAAGCAAAGTTCTTGCAATACTATACAAAACAAATCACTGACTGGGACTAGGCAAGCCCCAATCTAGAAACCCAATCAAGGACTGTAATGTCCAGTTGAACGGACAGGACAGCCTTCCTACCGTACCTACCACACGTACCATCCAACCAAGACCACCCACCAAAGTTGCTTGACGTTCCGCAACATTCAGGCGATTCATGAAATCAAAAGCAAAACACTCACGATACTGTCAGAAATTGTATAACAAAAAGTGAAAATTGTATACATTAACATCTTTAAATATTCATATTACTTTTAATTTTAGTTAACATTAGCTATTTTAACTAAGAAGATGAAAATATTACTCACAAAATCTGCGTAGAGGATAGAACTGACGAATCTTTGACAACAAGTACACCGCTAGCGGTGACCTATTTAAATGTTGACGCCGGAAATAATTGATAATTCATATCATGTGTGTTTGTTTGTAACACTTCGCTCCATCGACGAGATACGTACGCAGAACTCAACGATAGAGGGGCGACTACTTACTTATTTTGTTTCACACGTACACCGTCGTCAACATGGTGAGTAAAGTGTTGCAATTTAAACTCAAGTTTTGTGTGTATATATTAACAAGTTTTTACATTATAAAACACGTGCCATACTCACGAAGACTCAGTATATAATATTTTTACCTTGTATAAGGATTTATTATCATTTCTGTTTTCCTAGGCCTACCAACTAGCTAGATTTAGTAATAGTAGTACAGTAGTAGGGCTGAACCACTGACTGGCCCCGTGGGGTTATCCGCAGGCTAGATAGGACCCTTGCGATCTCGCGATACGTGTAATGCATGGGCCTAATGACTAACTAGGCCGCGCCTACCATTAAATACGCTTTCGATTATTAAAATAATTTTATTGTATACTTATTGTATTGAATGATGACATCATGAATCCAGTTATTGAGAATAGTAAACCAGACCAATCAATGCATTGCCGTGCTATCTGTGGCCTGTGGGACTCTTTGCAGTTCGTACTACATTTTGGCTACACGTTAACCTGCCATCTTTTTAATAATCTTTCTTTTTAGTATTATTATTATTGTACTGATTATTCTTTAATTTTTTTTCAGGGTAAAGATAAAAGAACAAAAAAGTTTGCAATGATGAAGCGAATGATTTCTCTCAAGGATTCAAGAATGTAAGTTTTTTATTTTGAATGTAGAAGCAGGGGTGATGCCAGTGGTTGGGCCAGCTGAGCCAGACTCTGCCGTCAAGCGAACCTGGCCTAGCTGTCTGAGAACCTAGCCCAGCTGTCAGGGAGTAACAGTAAAATTTGTTGGAGAAAAAAATAATTAAAATCATTTTTTAAGTCTGAGATAGCTAGCCCAAGACTGTCATTTCTGGGCATCTAGAGAAGAGCTGATTAACCTAACATTTTCGAACATCAGCACCAACCAATATTTCCATTTAACACATATGGCAGTAGATAATTAAAGGCATTTCTTTTCTTATACTCTAAAGTATAATGTATGTATATGGTAAATTATATATTTTTTTTTATCTTTAGAAAAGATACAGATAAGAATAAGCAAAAAGGAAAACCAGTCCCAAAATGGAAGGAGGAGAAAGAGAAAAAACTTGTTGTCAAAGAAGTTCCACAATACTCATCTGCCCTTTTCTTCAAGTACAACACGCAGCTGGGGCCACCATACTATGTTATCGTTGACACAAATTTCATCAATTTTGCAATAAAAAACAAAGTGGATTTAGTTCAAGGAATGATGGACTGTTTGTATGCAAAATGTAAGTAGATTTTCAAGAAAACAACCAACGATAATTATATCTATCCAGGCGGTGACGCATTACGATAAATATGCCAGAAATCTAACTCCTTGTGGTGGTGGTGGTATTGTTAATCATTGATAGTACTGATATTAGATATGGGCAGTAATGATTACCAGAGTTGTTGGTAATATTAATGGTAATATTTCCAGGTCCTCTCCTTAAATTTTTTTATTTTTTTAATTTTCTGCATTCAAGGTGTACCATGTATAACTGATTGTGTTATGGCTGAGTTAGAGAAACTTGGAAGGAAATACAATGTAGCACTCCGAACAGCTAAAGACAAGCGATTTGATAGGCTACCCTGCTTACATGCTGGAACCTATGCAGATGATTGTATTGTACAAAGAGTCACACAGGTTTGTGTTTTTACTTTTTAACAGACCAACAGAATAAATTTTTCATTTTATTTATTTGACCATGTACAGATAATTGAGTGTATTTTATACACGTTTGATCTAGTTTAGAATTGGCGCCATATAAATCCGAGATATGATTATTTAAGAAAATATTAAATTAGAATAATAAATGAGAAAAATAATTTAAATAAATTTAAAAACTACATTTATTGTCTCCTTTTATGAAAGATATAGTAATCCTTTGCCAATATAAATATTTAAAAACATAAACAATGAATACATAAAGGACCACCGATACAAGTAATGACAGTTTGCTTTATTTAAAATGGAATATTGTGCGTTTTTGTTTACTCCACAGCATAAGTGTTACATAGTTGCAACTTGTGACAGAGATTTGAAAAGAAGAATTCGTAAAATACCTGGAGTGCCAATCATGTACATGTCACAACACAGGTTGGTTACTAATTCTATCTAGCGCCCTCTATAGTAGGGTACAAAAGAAATTCTGGTTTCAAACTAAATAAATAGTTTTACGTATTAGTTTAACTAATTACAAAAACAGTAATTAATTGTAACTAAACAGCTAGTTACAAAAATGTGTTTAATGAGTTTAATTACAAAAGGAAAGTAAAGTACATGAATGAAATTGGGGAAAATGTTTGATGTAAAATTTAGTTATGGTTGAATAGTAAATCTGCTGTGTTCAATGTTTCATGATTACAGATTTACAATAGAACGGATGCCAGATGCGTTTGGAGCTCCCAAAGTATAACAACTCAAGAAACTTGCAGATGAACAAGTACACGTTGTGTTTGTAAGGATCTTAATCATTAAGGTCAGGGTTCATCTAGTGATATGTTACTTGTGCAGCACAGAGCTGCCTGGAACATGTCCCGAGTACTGAGGTGCTGTATTGACTCACTCAGCACACCGCTGCCTCATGCCTGTGTGAGTACAAAGCCACCTAAATGCCTGCATCAGCTCTTTGCTACCTCACACCTGTACAGCATGCATTCCAATAAGCGGATAGTTACATCATACAAGTACTTCTTGATGATGACTGCGTAGCATAAATGGATGACAGAAGTGTTTACTTGTCATTTTTTTTTTTTTTTAATCTAAGACATGTTGGACCTGATTTTAAGTTGTCATAGCTGAGTAAGTGATGTATCCTGTTAGAGGGCAGTAAAAAAAAATTCATTAGTACAGTATTCTCAATCTATGGTTTTCATCCAGTTTACTTAATCTCTGCCCACTGTATAAAACATTTGACCAAAATAAGAGTATAGAATGACAAGTGGTCCAAATGTCTTGATTTTGCATGCACGCAATGAACTGAATAACAATGTACTACTGTGAGATAGGGGACGACCTATTAGAATTCGAATAGAATTTGAACAGGCTTTCTTGTATGCACTTATGCATGTCTGATATGAACAACTTGTATGTGTATCTTCTTTTTTAAAGGATGTCCTGTAGTTCATGGTAGTATGTAAATTAAGATTCCATTTCAAGGGGATTCTGACAGTCGGACTTGCCAATTTAATCTATACTCTTTGATTTATCATACATTGTTGGTCTTGTGTGGTTTAATGGATAATGAACAGATGAAAAAGACAGTCGTGGTGTCAAATAAATTATATCATAATTTTATGTTACTGTTACTTATTGTTTATGTGTTGATTGTTTATGTGTTTTATCCTTCTAAAAGAGGAATGTGTACAGTGAAAGACTTATATAAACTAATACTTCATGATGCATTCTAAACTTTATTCAAAGCTGAGCACACTGTGACATGACGACGATTGCTCCATTGTGAAATTAAAACATTCCTCTCCCAAGGAGTCACTTATGCTTGAAAGGAACTGCTCTGTATAAACACCAAGGATAACACATGAAAGTCTGATAAAAACTTATTTTGAGTGATGATTGGACAGCACACTCTTTTCTGAATAGTGTACTGCGTTCTTAAACGTGCACATGGGCCATAATGCACACGTGACCAAATGCTTAAATGTCTCATCCAAAAGACGGTGCGCTATCGTAACTTGCATGCAGCCCTCTAGCTGAAACACAAAGAGAGCAGCGATGGGAATTGAACTGGGGACATAGAGATGTCCAGGGTTCAGCGTACACATAGTGACTATCACCAGTTTAGTCAACTGGGGCCCTCTTGATGTCGTTGGTTATCAGGCATCTAGATGACTAATGAAAAAGTTGCATCCTCGGTTCTCAATCCCAGAATGAGAATACTCATGTTTGGTTCTTTGATGTATAATTCTAATTTGACCACCCCCACCCCCTTCACAATGCAATGACATATAATGACAATCAGATTTTGGGAATTAGGACAGCTACTAAAGGTCTATTTAATTTTCGTGTTGATTTCCATCAATCTGTGATTTAAATCCAGCGTTATATTTCAGTAGAAATTTTAATCTGACATTTAGCATACCTATAAAATAATAGCCTAATATAATTAAGCGTTAATATACACATAGAAAGACAAAATGAATTTAGTACATGGATATCAAAATATTTATTATTTATATGTCTCATGCCATAATTAAATACAGTAGATCTAAAGCCAAACTATAATGATTATTATAAAGAAATAAATAGATTTTGCATGCGATGAAAACACCAGTTTAAGTCAGATAGCCCAAGAATGTAACCAGTGTACAAGTTCAATAATGTGACATAAACCATGGACCATTTTACAAATGATTTTGATTCAGATCAATGTGTAAACTATTTTTGTTGAGGTCGGGTTAACGGCGATAAATACCCTCTATTGATTTTATAGTCACTTAGTAAACTTGACCTCAGCCAATACGGTGTGTCACCGTCCGAGTAGGTGAGTTCTGAAATATCCAATGCGACGTTCTCTCGTGTTCCTTCTAGGACCAGTACATCGGTTCCCTTCTTCTTTTTCTTCTTTTTCTTTTTGTTTTTCATGTCTTCAGATTCTTCCTTTGTTTCGTCTACAGCTGCTAGTGCCATGGTTGCCAGCGAAGCCTCGACTTCTTGCGGCTCCTGTTCGTTTGATTCAGGGGCAGGGCCGGTTGTCTCTAATTGTCCGCTTCCTGACGATACAATAACCTCTGGATTTTCAGAGCAATTTTGGGTAGTTTTCACTTCTTGTTTTTGCTGGTTTTCCTGCTTATTTTGCTCGTGTTCATTAGATTTCGTTTGTAAAGGTATACCGCCTTTCGCTTCTTCGTTTTTGTATTTATTTTGAGTCAATTTCGAATCTTCGGTTGTAGACTTGGATTTGTTCTTGCGAATTCCGACTGCGTTTCCCATCGTCATAAAATTTTAACAAAACTTGAATGTAGAAATCAACAAAATTAAATGAATTATAATTAAATTCAATGTTAAATAATTTCGACAAAATAACAATATTTTGTTTATTAGATTTGCCGTATCAAAAATATTGATCGATATTAAATTAATCGTTCGGTCAAAATATCTAGCCCATAAATCTGCCTACATACCTTGATTAAAACTTCCTATTTTCAGGGTGTGCGATCTTTCTAATGATGCCAAGATGATGCTAACATTTTTATTTGATTACAAAACCACACTTGCTCTACGTTATTCGCGCGCGAGTAAAGCGTGTTCTGGAAACGGCGCACGTGCAATGCAGGAACACACCACGCGGCTCCAAGCCCCGCCGTTGGAGATCGTTGCTAAGGTCCCACAAAACAATCAATCAATCAGTCGTACCATTTATATAGCGCCATTCCAAAATTCGTTCGTGGTGCCAACATATCTTGTTTGCATTCGCAAATAGGCCTAAACATTTGTGTAACATGCGCGTATTCCTTACCCCGTTTATTTAATAACAGGTTATGATTGGTCTGTGCTGGGTTTGATTTACATTCCGGAAAGCTCCATTCAGTGGCGCTGAGAGGCCGAGGTAACCGGGGCACGCGCTCCGGGGCCCGGGCCCAGCAGGAGCCCTCGATAACTAGGTAAAAAATAATAAAATACAATAAATAAATAAAAATTATTAAACGTATACATTCATCCAGTATTATTCATGTGGTTTTTCCCACGAGAATTGTAAATAAAGCTGACCGTTTTATCGATGAAAGCTGGTAATTAATCGCTTCTAATTCTTTTTCATGAATATTTTCATGACTTCTTATGTTTACTATGTATCAAATAGTAAATTCTTTACGTTTAATTTAAAATTATAAAAGGCCTGCACCATAGACATCGTCAATATACATAGAAGTTATAAAATATTAATAGACCTGTTAGGGAATCGATTTTGCAATAAACTCTGAATTAATATTATATTAAACCAGTGGTGGATTTAAAGGGGGGGGGGGGGAAGGAGCCGATCCTCAGCTCCTAAATCTTTCTTTGATACCTATGTTTTCAGCACGATAAATAAAAGGAAGGATAGCTTTTACTTTTCTTGTTTCTGTACTTTATTTTTTATCACCTGGTAAAATTAGGCACTCTATAGTCGATTAAATTATAGTCCTCTGATCCGCACTAAGGATCTGCCCCTCGATCCCACTGGGACCCCCCAGACCGTCCCAACCAATGGGCAGCGAAGATGCCCCCAGGGCCCACGACCGCTCTCGGCAAACCTGACTCCATTTGATCTTTCCTAGCCGGACCGTTGTGTATGAATAAAGCACTAAGGCGTATAATAATTGACAGCACACAGTTTGTACATCCATGGAGGAATTAGTTTGGTACATCTAGGTGTTGTTTTAAAAGAATTCCCCCACCCAAGCAACTGAATTGTTCTGGGAACTTATTTCTTTCATTGGGGACCTTGAACCTCTTGCTGGGGGATCTTGTACCCCTCATCGGGGAATATCTTGCGCCAATACCGGTACTGCCTAAACATCAATTTGTAAAATTAGTGGCGAATTGAATGAGTAGGAGCATATGTAATTCTCCTCCCCTAACACCAAAACACGAATGAATTGCGTCCCCTATAGCGTGGACTTGCAATTCACTTTAAGTGTCACATAATTTATGATATCTTGGATTTTCTGCATTTCACACAACATGGTTACGCTATCTGTCACACTCAGCAGACTTGTTCTTTTTTTCGGATTAATATTTTACCCATTTACTGATTAATTTGTCACGTTCAAGCGAAACTAGAATTCGCTCCATTCCATGTGTTGAATCGCATGTGAAATTTAGACTTTTTCCAACAAGAGATTCAATCAAGCGTTTGCGCTTCAGCGTAGTGCGTATTTAAATCAGGGTCTTTCTATCGGTCCACGGATTTTGGCGTCCAGTGAATCATATAATTGACAGCTTTGCTGCTTTTCTGAGGATGTTGTTTCAGTAGGAGATGCAGAATGCACAATTGATTATTATTATTATGTTTTCGATAGATACCTAAATCGATTCTCTCATTGGTTGAGTGGGCTAGCTTTCTCTCCGAATATCGGTTCGTCAGGTGCTCTAATACAGCAATGGGTCAATAGGGGCCTATCTTTTAAAATCATGATCTTTTTTAAATCCACATTTCAATTTGCTGAATTTTTGTTTATTATTTTCAGCTATGCATTACACAAGTAGGCCTACTGAAATGCTAAAAAATTGGAAATAAGTAATGTAGGCCATATGTACCTTTGAAAGTAGACAACAACTTTATATATAATTATAGCCACACCTCAACCTATCCTAAACCCGAACGAGAACGACAATAACAACAATATGCACCAACATAAACAAAGAAGTTGTTCTAGTTACAAGTTAAGTTATAGACCACTAAAAGTGAAAGAGATGCTAAAATTGTTGATGAATAGCATGGTGTATATTTCATATTGTTTGCGTGATTAGGCCTATATTACGCAATATTTGCCGACATAATATTTACCAATGCATTGCCTAATGAAACATAGCAAAGGGAACACGTGTGATCATAAACTAATATGGACGTTCGTATTAAGCCCCTGGGTTACTATTTCTTTGGATTTTATTGTGGGTTACAATTAATGTGGGTTAATAAAATTATATTTAGTATAATATCAAGTTCAATATCGTAACTTAACATTTAAGGTGGGTTACTATTTTGAGCATGATGCTCTTGCTGCTGCTAATAACGCGAAAATGATGATGATGATGTGATGAAGATTATGACACCGGTGATGATGTTGAAGAAGAAAAGACAGCAATAAAAACAGCTATGAGTTGTAAATATAATTTATTAAATCACAAATATTTCAAACACTCCTGTGTTCTTCCTCAGTGCGAGGACAACTCATCTTCTAATATATATATATATATATATTGTTTACTTGTTTTTCAATTTTTGGGGACTTCATCAGTCTACATACCGATATCCGACATCCCAGTGTTGTATGGTTGGTTTACTTCGATGTAAAACATTTCAAGGGTAACCTACGAAAATCAATTTCGTATCAGATTTGCAACAAAAATTATATTACATTATATTTTATAGGCCTATATATATAGTATATATATAATAAATATATACAAACACCCACCAAAACCATTTACTTATAACCCCGAAAATGAATAATATCAATGTACAAAATAGATATAATTATGTATAATATGTATTGCTCATTAGGCCTACACTATTTTCAGACCCACAAATAACGCAACACAATCATAGGCCAATCTACAATGAAAATATACGTTTGAACATGTATTAGGCCTACCTCTGCATCCCACACATATCCTCATGTTCCCCCATACATAAAACATCACACACCCAACAGAGCACAATGTGAACGACACGCTTAAATTTATATCACGAAAAATTAACCATTTGAACGGTCGTAAATATGTCGGTAGCTATGAATTTTTAAATATCATCTTATGTCGGAATGTCTGGGATTGCATTCTTGGACACGCGTCTGCAGTGATACCGCTTTGCACGATGGTACTTTAAATTATGACGATGATGTACTATAAGCCCCGTCCAAACTCATACAATTTATTTGACAAAAAACAAATGACATGGCTAAATATGGTCATGATGACATCACATCATGACTATATATAGGCACAACATGACTATATATGGGCATTCAACAGTTTTTTTTGTCAAAGAAATGTTTATAATCTTGACAGAACCTAAGGCCACACAATGATAGACCTATTTTTCAGCATTCAACAAACTTAAAACCACGATAGCTCTACCGTCCTGTTGATGCCTTTCAAGGGTGTTTCCAAGCGTCATGACAAGATCTAGTAATGTAGTTATTTCTTACTTTTTCATTTCATTGTAATAAAAAATAAGCAAATAAATAAGTGTGCTATTCACCGTAGAACTTTTACTGAAACTATATGGATATGTCACGGTGGAATAGGTCTAGACCTACTCGACAGCATTTTGTCGGCATCAGATCGGAGGCATGTAAGGCCTTTAAAGTGGAACTTCATAATATATCATCCTTCTACCGCTGATAAATTTGTAAACATCCTGAGCGTTTCGTCAATTGATTTGCTATAATGCAGCGCGTTACTGCATTTACATGTTTGCACGCTCGCAGATCGTTTAATCAGTACGCGCGACTATATGACGTCAGGTCGTGAACAGGCAGCGTTAACGATGTATTTATTAGTGTGGTTAACAATGATTCATTCCATGGATTTAGTTGAGACTATTTTGCTCGTTAATTACTCAATGTATATTAGGGAAGCTTTGTAATCTCATCTTGCATGAAAAATGCTGTGTTAAATCCATGTGTATGAGAATCGAGTCAAAAGTTTAAATTCACATGCACAGTAAACGTTTTAAGCAAAAATAATTCGCATCGATAAGAAAAATTCAACAATATATTATCGAGGATAGAAGATCATCCATTATATAGTGTTGTAATTAAAATGATGATGATGACTATATTATTAGTTTACACTGTAATTGTTTTTTATGAGGACATTTTTTTGGATGCTGCTGATCACGATCTGTAATTTCTGTAAACAAGTATAATTAAGACAAATAATAATTTATCTGATGAACCACAGATTATAAACATCGGTTCAGGGCCATCCAGGTATTATAAAGCATATCCTCATTATCACAGTTTATAATGTTCGTCCCCAAATAACCCCATTGATGCAACGAAAGCAACCGTTACAGATTCTATTACAATCATAAGGGGAATCATACCATGAAATACCTCAGCGTTGAATAGACGTTAACCCCATTTTCTCTCGGGTAGCTCTTCTTTATTACGAATCGTAGGCCTATATATTCTTGTCGTATCAAACTTTAATTTCATCTGCATCAGTGATATAAATCAACAAGTCAATTTTCTGAAGATTAGAAATAAAAACACCGGTCCGTCAATAAATATTACGTGTAATTAGTCTTTACGCATTTAAGTGGAAAACTAAATATTGGTGCAAATTAGGTAACCAGCCTGAAATCGTTTCTGAATCATGCTTATATACTATGCATTGTGTGTATATAAATATAAAGCTATTATTAGGATGTGAGTTTGCGTCAGGAAAATATCATAGGAGTGATGTTTTGCCCTACCTGACGTGTTATCGTACCGAATACTCAGATCGGTAGGCCTACGTCCCCAAGTACTATACAAGCATGTCCAAAATAATAGTGCTAATAAAAGGATATGTAGATCAGGATATTAATATTTTAAACAGCCGCAGAAGGATGAATGTGAACCACCATGTAACATTATGGATGTTAGTGTAGTTAATAGGGCTAATTTTGGTACCGGTATGACCTCATTTATAATATCTGAATGAGGGGGCATCATGATTTTTGTGAAAACCATGTGACTGGCTGACGTGATCTCTGTCGATGTTATTTTTTTAATTTCCAATGTAGGCTATCGCGTAAGATGTAATTCAAGTTGAAATCCGAGAACATGAATGTATACTGCTTGGAAGACTTATGTTAATGAGGACGACTTGCGTTATAGATATATTCCTGTCTCTTATACACATCTAGATGTGTATAAGAGACAGGTATTAGATAGGCCATATAATGTACAATACAACCTCGACTAGACACATATTCATTTTCATCATAATTCTGGTCCCAAACCTAGACTAGGAAATAGCTGGAATGTTGCCGAGGAGAGTTTTTACTGCTAGGGGCTATTGTCAACTGCTCTCTATGGTACTCCTGGGATATCGGTGTATCTAGATCTACCATCTACCGCTTTCAGAGGAGACGCTCGGTAAACTCAAGAATAATTTCCCTAAAAAATACTAGCAATTATTTGAATTTAAAAAAAATGTAGAGCCTACTGTCACTGCAAAACCATTTGGAAACATATGAACCGTCTGGGAGTGCAATTCCCAGGAATCTAGATTTGCTACATTTTTATTTTATACTTTGTCCTATTAAACCTTGGTGCATGCTGAGGTGGCTATTGAGACTACTGGTATCCCCCCTCCCCTCTGCTTTTTTTTCAAAACAATTTTGCTAAAGATTATTACACTTAAAAATCTAACAGTGCTATATCAGGCCATAAAATTGCTACTGCACTTCTGAATTTTTTCACCTAGACTCAACCAGTACAGAATAGTCTGAGAATGCTATTTCCGGCATTTAAAGCTGTTCCACCCTTATATATTTTTTCGCCTCACCCCTAGCCATGGTGGAGCTGCGGTTGGTGTTAACACGCCTGGTACTCACCCTTCCCTAATCCTGCAAAATGCACAAAAACTTATTTGATCTGTGTACAAATTGAACGACATAAATGTCAAATTAAGACAAGTTCGAATAAATACTTCAAGTCTGAGAATGCAATTTCTGGGCCATATAGTGTTGTTGTCATTGATTTGTTTCGCCTCAGCCCAACCATGATGTTGTTGTGGTGGGTGTAGTCTCTCCTCGATGTATTTAAATTGAACGAGCAATACTGTCGTTAAATGACAATTAGGCTATGATGATGTTTATGATGAGAATGAAAATAAACCATAGAATGAAAATTAGTACATTGGTCTCAATCACAATGTGCCTTCAATAATCTGGCCTCTTAGTTCATCATCACCAACTGAAACATATACCTTAAAACAGCATTCATTTTGAAAATAAGCCTCCCTCTTTACTTTGCAAAAGTAGCCTCGAAAATAAGCCCACCTCAAAAAGAAGCCCATCCATAGTTCGCAAAAAAGAAGAAGAAGAAAAGCCCAGGGTTTCAATTTGAGGTTTTACGGCAGGCCTAGATATTGGGAAACCTAGATATTGTATAACGATGAGGTTCGTGAGGGCACCAGTGAGGGATCAGAATTCGAAATAGAGGGCGACCAGAGAGAAATTTTACAGATGGAGGTCCAGGAGGAGGCTTCCGCCCAAGGTTTGGGTTGTGGTACTGTACAAACCTTTATTTTTATGGTACTTCTAGATGGCCTGAGATGGTACCGTACTCTCAGACTTCACTACTTGAAAACCCTAAATTGTCATATTTTCGGGGGTTTTCCCCCTGGCCAATTTCGAAAGGTTTTTAGTGGGTTTTTAGCGACGCCCGACCACGCCCACTTTTTTCTCTTCGAGGAAATCAGCTGCCCCGTCGGCGACCTTGGACCCCCCGTTACGTCGGGGAAATCCTGGCGCCGCCACTGCCAGTCCAGCTGCCCACCCACTTAAGTTCTCCTCTGGGCGCTGTACATACGGTAAATATGTGAATATAAAATGAAACTTAGAAATTGTATTATAAAATTAAATAAACAAAGACATTTTAACAAGACTATCGTTTATCTTTTTTCAGCGTGAATGTATTTCAGTACACATCGGTCAAGCTGGTTGTCAAATTGGGCAGTCGTGTTGGGAATTGTATTGCATGGAGCATAACATCAAGCCCGACGGCCATATTGTTGATGACAAAGAGAGCAATTCCGACGAATCCTTCAGCACTTTCTTCGCCGAAAGCGGCGCAGGGAAGCACGTCCCAAGAGCCGTATTCATCGATTTGGAACCAACGGTTATCGGTAAGCCACTTATTATTATTCTTCAGTATGTTAAAGTGCAGTTGTTCATAAATAGCCGAACTTTATTCATTCTAGTCTGTACAACAGAAATATTAAAATCATGGCACGTGCCGATCAGGGATCGAATGTGACGTCAGTTTGTTAAAATGCCACTTTAAAGTATGGCAATATTTAAAATTGTTTAAACTATGTACTGTGTATGCTCTCAATGACTAACTTTATACGTGGATTTTTCAGATGAGGTTCGATGTGGTACGTACCGTAATCTCTTCCACCCCGAGCAAATGATAACTGGCAAAGAGGATGCAGCTAACAACTACGCCAGAGGACACTACACCATTGGAAAAGAGCATATTGACAGTGTGTTGGACAGAATCCGTAAGCTCGCTGACAACTGTACTGGACTTCAAGGATTCCTGATCTTCCATAGCTTCGGAGGCGGCACTGGTTCTGGGTTCACATCTTTGCTGATGGAGCGTCTCTCAGTCGATTATGGAAAACGTTCCAAACTGGAATTTGCCGTCTACCCAGCACCTCAGATCTCATCTGCTGTCGTAGAGCCTTACAACTCCATCTTAACTACCCACACAACTTTAGAGCACTCTGACTGTGCATTCATGGTAGACAATGAGGCAATCTACGATATCTGTCGCCGAAACCTCGACATTGAACGACCATCATACACAAACTTGAACCGCCTTATCGGACAGATAATTTCCTCAATCACCGCCTCACTCCGATTCGATGGCGCATTAAATGTCGACTTGACCGAGTTCCAGACTAACTTAGTACCTTACCCACGTATCCATTTCCCCTTGGCAACTTACGCACCAGTGACGTCAGCTGAAAAGGCTTACCATGAACAACTCTCCGTTGCTGAAATCACCAGCGCTTGTTTTGAGCCCCAGAACCAAATGGTGAAGTGTGATCCACGTCATGGCAAATACATGGCCTGCTGTCTGTTGTATCGTGGTGACGTCGTGCCAAAGGATGTCAACGCGGCTATTGCTACCATCAAGACCAAACGTTCGATTCAGTTTGTAGACTGGTGTCCAACTGGTTTTAAAGTCGGTATCAACTACCAAGCACCAACCGTTGTTCCAGGAGGCGATTTGGCCAAAGTACAGCGTGCCGTCTGTATGTTGACAAACACCACGGCCATCGGTGAAGCGTGGGCTCGTCTTGACCACAAGTTTGACCTGATGTACGCCAAGCGCGCCTTCGTGCACTGGTATGTCGGTGAGGGTATGGAAGAAGGAGAGTTCTCTGAGGCTCGTGAGGATCTGGCAGCTCTTGAGAAGGACTACGAAGAGGTTGGTGTGGACTCGGCTGGCCCTGATGATGAGAACGACGAATACTAATTTAACGGCATAGCCATCTCTTTCAACTGCTTCGAAGTGCTTTCAATCTCCACAAATTACTGCGTATTTTTACCAAGAGTTATCGGCAAGATAAAACAAGATCAAAATGTTAAATCAAGTCTTTCCTATTATAAATTAAGGATTCCAGCGCATTTCTTAGTCTTGTATATTTTTGAGACAATTTATACTATTTCTAAAAGTGTATTGTTTTAGAAATTACTGCAAAGTTCAATATTATTCGTATTGGTAGCGTCTTTACCTTACTTCTTTCCCAATGTACGATAGCCGTTTTCTACACACTATTTAAAAATATGTATTTACTATAAGGCATCAACATGCCGAAATATATGTATGCCTTGTTCATTTCTACGGTGTTTTATTGCATTTTATTCCTAAATCTTTAATAAAACTACATCTTTGCATTACATTAGTGAGCTTTCTTGCATTGATTTATTGTATTAAATTTATACCTAACGATTACCAAAAGCGAACATTGTATCTTTGTCATGGGTGAGTTAAACGCAGACGCGATGGTGTGCGTCGGGGGCAGTCGCGTCGTAGGATATTAAACATGTTTAATATTTCTCACGACGGCTTAAGACTGTCCCCGACGATAAATCGGGTCGAGCTGCGTCGGCCGAGGCTGTCTGAGTTCTGCAGACTCAGACTAACACAACATATCACACATTGTACACTTCTTACACAGGGAAAAACATTTTAAGCACTCCTTTTCTTAACTCCAATGTTTGGGCTACTTTTAACTACATCACGTCACTAATACTAACAAGGTACGCTCACAACAATTCATGTTTGTTCGTTCCACAATAGATCAACTACAAAATAATTTCGTATTGTTATAAAGACTGCTATGAGATTGTGGCCAAGTTTCCTCGCCATTATATATATAAACACGGTGCTGTACTGCACTGTACCGTCGTGCACTGTTAGTACAATCATTGCACAGTATACGACGGACTCGGACACTAAACATACACATGCCTAGCCTACCAGAAACATAATGAAATAATTCATGGTTAATTGGTTACGACAAAAAAAGACATCAAAACAAAAACACTAATTTCTCAGAATTGAACAAAATTGTTGATGTTTATTTATACCACCAAGTTATCGTTGTATTTACATTTATAACACGTTGCATATACTATTTTAATAAACTTACAATCGCAACAAGTCGAATCGTAGGCCCTCATTTACCAGTATAACGTAAATATCACACACATACATCATCAGTACCACCATGCGCTCACACTTCCACCCATACGCACCCTCCCCCACCATACATATACACGCACGCACACATCCACACCTACTACTTGCACTTAACGAAAGGCAGAAGCTAACGCTTGGCACGGCACCAAGTTGCATCGACAGTTTTATCTGAGTAAATTATAGCAAAATATATTAATCCTTATTACGGAAGCAACGAACCACGATGGCGTTACAAAAAACGAAAAGTTACTGGCATACAATCCAACTTCGTTTCCCTGGCCTTCCCAGATTGCCAATCACTGACTTAACGTCTTAACGGAAGCTACGACGACAATGTCCAATCAACCGCCTTCTTAAAATTATGGGACAATGATGACGTTGGTGATGTATTCTTTATATCCAATGTAATTAGCACGGCACGAAATTCACCAAGTAGATACACACATATATATACACATTGACTTTTAAAAAACATTTAAACATCACCAAAGTCATAGAAATTATAATATTTTTATTATTTGAAATAAAGACGATTTAACTAAAATGTTAAATAAGAAAGTAATGCACGCCATCGTGTTGGGATTCAATATTTCGACATTAATTATGTCATCATCAGGAATGATTATGACATAATTAATGTCGAAATATTTAATCCCAACACGATGGCGTGCATTTCAATACTTGGAGTATGTATTATACTTTCTTATCTGAGATTAATCAGTGGACCTTTCGGTTTTTTTTTATGTTAAAGCAGTTCAGAAAGTATGCCATGTAGGTCTATATACTATTCTAATTGAAACGAGAGAACAACATGTTCTATTGGAATTGTTATTTATGTTAGGCCTTTGTATTCCGATTGGGATAAGCCTGGTTTCCATAGAATCGCTACACAGTCACTACAGCGTGTTTTCACTACAATCCCTTGCACTGCGTAGCTATCCCCAACGCAATCAGGACCGCTCCCTGATTCAACTGACCAGTCAGCGCCGCCAAAGGAGTCGGCGACAGCGTGTAACGATTTTTATGGAAAATAGGCTTGCGACCCAAATAACGTTGCTATAAACACAGTTTTATTCAAAACAAGGCCATATCTGTTATTGCCTTACAATTGGAATTTCAAACATTAACGCGCTTGTCCTACAAAAACAGTAGAAACGCTCATTCGTCCTCACTCACTTTTCACTTTGTTAGCTTTGGTAATACACTTAATATATCAACAACAATGATGAAGGTGATATGGCAAGACGGTGATCTGGGCAAATAAGGATACAGTAAGCTGATTCTCATGATCATTCGTTTCGTTCCTGTCTTTGTACCACCAGAAATCAAAAGAACAAATCGTCTGTTTATATTCTTGTGTTCCACATGCCTATAACCTACAACCCAACTATGAGTTGGGCATTTTTTTTGTATGCGAACCATCTCCCTTCACCGATGTAGAGACCTAAATACTGTACACCATCCACCAGCTTAATCTAAAAAGTGAAACTGACCTATATGTGAATAAGTCTATTTTAGGACCTTAATTTTTACAGGATCATTTTTTTCTTGGATGTGCCCGTTTTCCTTGGCTTCAATAAATAGTATTTAATCTGACACTCTCACTCCTTCACTCGTTTCTTACGCCATATCACGCACTCAGCATCAACACACAATACTTATGCAGCATACATAAAGACTATTTGTCCACCATAAGCGCCACGAATTCTGGAAAAAAAATGATAGTTTTAATGAAATCAGTCGAAATATTTAAAAATTCGGTAGATCGTAACTGCTTATATGTCACTCATGACCTATTCGTATTCCTTATCACATTTTTATTATTTTAATATATTAATGAAATGAAATCAAAACAAAGTAAAGCAATCATGTTTTAATCCAATATATTATTCAAATTCTGCATGTCGAAATAACATAAAGCAACGAGGTTGAGAGTTAAAGGGGGCTTCATCTTTCCCCACTTTGCAAATGATCCTATTCGGTTGGGGTTGGGACTATTTAAAATACCCGCAGCCCCCATAAGCCCCTGTTGAGCCCCACCCCCCTAAATGAGCAAAATAAACACACAAATCATTTCACGAGTATTTATAGATTAAATGAGAACATTAAATACAACATGAGATTGGTTTTGACATATCAAAAACATAACAGGTTAATCCCCTGGGCCTCATGGCTGTCTTGGGCTTTCTCTAGTGTGATTGGATCTGTATAATTTAGACAGTTATCAATGCTTCTCATGTGTAGCCTAATATTTTACCTTGGTAATCAATAGTGCCGTCACTGTCTTTGTCGGCGTCACTTAGTAAGTCTAATATATCTTGATCTGTGATCCCACCATCGGCAACTTTTAACACGGCAGCGAGTTCTTCAGCTCTGAAACAGTAAATATAAAGGCCTATGATAAATAATGAGGATAACTGAATTTAAGTGAAAAACAATAACAATGTATGATTAATCTTAAGTTTACGGTTTTGTCTGCATAAGAATGGGATAATTTGTTAAAATCCTGGAGAAATCCAGCGGAAATTCAAATTCCGGCAGAAAATGTTCATTTCATAGAGAGCGGGAGATGACCAAAATTCTTATAGCCTCACATTTTGGAAGTTGATCCTCCCTATGTTATAGTAGTCAATCCGCACACACCACACCTCCCCTTCCCACTCGCATTCACGTCCCGATACGCACGCAAACCACTGAGCACATGTTGGCTATAGTGTCATCTACCGGTAATGATATATAGTCCTAGTCCTTCACTGAGTATAAAATGATAGGTATATTGTAGGCCTACTATTGTGCAAGTTTTTATGGATGTTACGTCAATGGAAAGTTATCCGGCAAATTACTGAATACCAACAGGCGAATGTGAGCGTATGTCTATTCCATTACACATACTCATCCAATATGAAGCTTTGGTCTCTCAAGCGTATGCAGTATTTGCAAAAACAGAGCTCCGAGCGGTGACGCTTTAAATACCCAAAATAATTATTTGCCGCTACAGCTTGTTTTACACTAGACGTAGGCCTATGTCGACGCAAACACACACACACAAAAAAAAACATTACCGACGTCGCTATGTTCGATTTGTAAAATATAATAAATGGGATTGATTCTTTTAATTTCCTATACTACACTGTATACGGTATAGGCCTATTATTCAATTTAGACGTTCGCGCGTTAGTTGTGTGCACCATCCACCTTCGACGATGTACCTTACTGTACATGAAAATTCGCTCTCATCGCAAGCGCTCAACTTGCAATTCCCAAGACGAATCGTGCGTTTAGATTCGAAACGTCGTTTATCCAATTATGTGCAGAGGTGAGACTTTAGGCTTCATTAACGTCGCCGTCTTATTGCCAATTACACTACAACGATGAAATATATGTCCATTGAAAAACATCATTGTGTGAACTACTCTCGTAATATCTCTATATTCCCTCTCAGAATAATTCATATATGGTGATTGAATTTAGACGATGACTCACCTCAAAGGTGTGGAGAAATGCATTTTGTTCCTCTTTCTCACCTAATATATATCTTTATTCTTTTCTACTCCTCTTCCACAGTTTTCATTCCTTACACATTGAACTCTCCGTTTCTGTCATCATCCACTTTCTCTCCTTTTTCTACTTCTATACTTCCTCCACTTTTATTGTTCATGTTTGTTCTTCACATTCAACTTCTCCGACATTATTTATCCGAAACTTTCACATTTGTAATTCACATCACTTTTCCCTATTTAATAATCCTTCTTTTACCTTTTTGTTATTTTGACTGTAATTTTATTGCTTCTTACTTCTTATCACGTCATTTTAATCAACCATGGAATCTTGAAGAGCTAATCCTTTTCGATTTTAAACTTGGGATGCAACTGTTTTGCATTAGGAAATTTTTATTCAATTAATTATGGTGGTAGTTATTAATTTTTGTGACGAACTAGGCTGTGTTTTGTGTGTGGACGAACTAGGCTGTGTTTTGTGTGTGTGTGTGTGTGTGTGCGGACAACTGAATTTCCTTTAACTGTTGTAACATTTTTGTATTTTTCTTCACATCCAACAGCAAGTACACTCGCCACTTACAGGATAAAACGATGCTTTATAAACTAAGTCTTATTGAGGCTTAGGGAGTGGAGTTGTATTTGGTTGTGAGAAGGGGTCCTGCTGTGACAGGAATTGAACCCAGCACCCTATGATTCGAATGAAATCATCCTATATCCACTAATCTTTTCAACTACATTTATATTTACTTTATCCACATCTCCAAATGTTAAAATACTAAACTGGTATATGGTGTGTGTGTGTGGGTGTTTTTTTCTATATCACTTTTATTCATCAAAAATATACATAAAAAACACAAAAATATACATCAAAATACATGTTTGGATATATAAATACCTAATAAAGCCCCTTTGATCCTTGTCAAATACTTGAAAGGCCTCCCTGATGTCTTCCGATTCGTCGCTGTCTTTTAGCTTTCTCGACATCATCGTACAGAATTCCGTAAAGTCAATGATGCCATTACCTACGAATGAGAAAAAGTATTGATATTAAAGCCCCATTCCCGGCAAAATTTCACTAAAAACTGACTTTTTTTTAGAAAATATGCATTTGCATTACTCCAATTATTATAAATCATGGGAAAATATTGCCATGAATTTTAGTTTTACGCAAAAGAATTAAAAAAATGAGAAATACAGACTATTTCTCATAAAATATTACCATTTTCTCGACGAATTCATCGTTACTAGGCAAATTCAGAGTTTGTCGATCGCATCCACTGGAATACTCTCGCTTTTACGTATACTTTATACAGTCAATAAAGTGCGCCCTCTCTAATGAGATTAGTTTTTGTACTTCGCATGTCGCACAATGCGGTCGTTCGGTTAGGCTGAGATATGTTTAAGTAAGTGTTAAAATCTCAGTCAGAATCAGTTTTTTAACAAATTTGAAATAATTCCTATGAAATATTATATTCACAAGTGTCAATACTAGCAACGGAAAATATCATGTCGGCCGTTTTTATGTGTGATAACAGAACCTAAATCGAGGTAAGACTAAGCCCAGCCTAGCAGCGTTGGATAGGCTAATGTTTTCGGCGCCTACGATATTTCTTCTCACGACCTATCGCAAAATCAACATGAAAAATTCATCCGCATTTATTTTTTGTGTGGAACACAAAAAATCAAATTTCAGTCTTATTTTACATTTTTTTCATTCTTAGGAATGTCTAAATTCAGTTAAACTAGCAATTCCATATTATATTTATAAATCTTAATAACATTATACAAAAATTAGATTTTTCTTAAAAACTGAAATTTTGCCGGGAATGGGGCTTTAAAGCAGGCTCTCATCATCCACGTCACAAGAGCGCGTGCAGTACGTCAGCAAGCGCGAACAAGAGGGATACGCACCACCACACATTACAGCCAATCGCATTGAGGACAGTCGGGATTTTGATATTGGCATCTGGTAAAGAAAGATGAATGCGGCCGGCCTCACAAAAACTATGACGTTATCAATGTGTAATATATTTTTATGCTTCGTGGTACAGGTATTTTCTTCATATGGCTGTTGTTTGTAATTTCATTTGTTGGATTTGAATAAACCAAGAAGGTCAATGTCATTAACCAGATCAAAAAATGTTAGCCCGGTGATATATTCCGATTATTACCACTAATAATAGATTTGTTTTTATTTCTTCATGTATTTTA